CGACTTTTAATATTTATATAATTATGATTGCGTGTATTAACTTTTGTGGCGTACCATGCAACATACAAAATTGTCTTGTCGACATTCACCCAGAGCTAATTGTAGAAGATTATGTCATACAACATATAAAGGGTCTTGTTGATTGAGTATTGAGTACGACTTCATTGTCAAGCGCTTGTTGATGAAGATTTATTTTAGCGAATATTGAAAACTATAGATTGTAATTTGCTGTTGATAACAAACAATCATATTAAAAGTTCAACCATAGGGCATCAGCAAAGAAGTGTTTCAAGTTATGTTTATTCAGGAGAGCAAATATCATAGTGTAGTTGTGAACAATATTCATCCAATAATCTATATTAGACTTGTTAGAAAATTTATTAAAAAATACAATTTAAGCTTTGATTAATAATCACCCACATTTCTAATCAGATAATTTTTTATTAGAATACGTATCAATATTCTGAATTTGTTAGATTGAATATAATATCAAATAGTGGCAAAATGTAAAATAATGCAAAAACTTATGTGATCACCCTAACTGTTCTGCAAAGATCAATAGAAACGTTTGACCTAGATACTAGATGGCGCCGTCACCACAATAATACAAGTGAAGAAGGAAACATTTGTCAAGATTAATTGTGCTTTGTGTGATTGGGTAACAAGTGCAACCAGACATGCTACTTTAAAAGTTGAGGAAGAGAAAATAACTTGGATAACTTTTCAAGTAATGTTGACCCAATCCATTCTACTTAATTTTAATAATATGTTGTCACTTGTTATTCCTCGGAATGGCACATTACGTGTATTTTTGTTATAATTTCCCAGATATAGAGTAAACCTTCTCGTTCAGAACTTCGTTTATTTCAACCCAGAACATAAAGAATAGATAATATTTGATATTAGCATACATACTTTGACCTGGCCTGGGCTTCTTTAGTATGTAGAATTTCCTTATATACCGAAAAAGGTAACATAAATTATTGAAATTTAACTTTGTGTCTCCACTTTTTGTGTATTTGTTTGTTCTTCATAATCAATTCACTTTAGAAACATAAAACCACATCTTTCCTGCGATTAAGTAAGGGCAAATAAAGAACCGAACTTTTAATAACTAAGCTATTTTTAAACAATTTTTGAATAGTGTATCAAAAACCAAGAGTAGTAAGACCTTTCATGTCCTTTACCTGAAAGTTCAGTCTGGCAGCATGCGAACAATCAGGAAACTGCTAAGCGATTTGTAATTACCGATCTGAGCTTACACCAACCTTTATTCATTTTTTAGTTTATGAAATAACTACAATCAATTGCTGCTATTGATCACTGTTATCAAGGTCTTTAGGTCATGCTGGAAAAACAACAATCCGATACTAATGAAAAACTTAAACAGTTTTATTAATCAACCTAATCTAGATGGTCAAATTGAAGAGAGTAAAAACTTCTGAGATTCGAAAATCTATATTTAACGATTAACATAAAGACAAGACATATCTTATCAAACATTGCATTCACATTTGACAGCGTATCGACAAATTGTGAGTGTTACAAGCGATGAAACATCCGTTCCATTCAGGTGGTGAATCCAATAACGGAAGACTGTAGAAAGTTCAGGAGAGGGTAATAATACATAATATAAGGCTCTCGCGGGAGAATTCATCCAACGGAGTTTAAATTACCAAAAGGCCATGCTAGCGATTGGAGTAGGAATAATTATTTATTATTTAGCTGTTAGTACCCTATGAACCGCCATGCATGATGGAAAATCTGATTGGTTTGGAGCAATTATCGGTGGTCCAAATTTGGTATATTCGCTGGAGGAAGAAATTTGTTGATGCAGGGAAATTTTGTTATTAATTTGATTAATTGAACTTAATATCTGCAGTTCTTTTTAAAGTAATTAATACCCAGGGCTTTTAATTAGCATTTACATATTATAACCTCAGTGGTATCGTATTGCCTTACATGATTTTAGATGCTGCATAAAGCGTTTCGTATGTCTTTATTAAAATATCGGGTTATGAGTTCTGGACTGAGTGACTGGATTCTGAACTGAGACAGGTCCCAAACTCAGACACAACATATCTTTCGTAAACAATTAAAGCGATAGATAATGTATTGGGAACAAATCATGGAAATTGTATCCCTTTATTTGAATACAACTCTTTCGGCCATGTGTATTTTAGGGGAGGCAATCATTTCGTCGACAATCATTTCACCGACAATCATTTCACCGACAAATCTTCACCAACATTATTTCGAAGTTATCCTTTTCTGGTAGTTAATTGTCGGTGAAATGTACTGTCGGTGAAATGATTGTCGATGAAATAATACGGACCCGTATTTTAGTCTTTGAATAATAGATTATGTCGCTTTAATTATATTATAAGTAAACACTGTTGCTTATTTAGAAGAGTGATTATTGTTGCTAATACGAGTCGCACTTTTTTTTATATATATTCTCTTTTTTTGTATTATTGATACCATTCCATTCGTTGAAGTCAACGATGTCTGTTTTAGCATGTGTTGCCAAAAAAGGTAGGCTCGTGAGCAAAAAAAAGGGTTAACCGATCTTCATGCATAAATGACACCCGTTCATTATACTAATTATCAATTTAACTATTTCGGAAATAAAGTTTTAAGAAAGTTAGGCTAATGATTAGGGAATATTTCTTGGGTGTAACCTTTTTTATTATAAAAGATGGGCAGTTTCGTTTGCTCTGGAAATAAACACACGTTATTCAATTATTGCATTCGCAAAACAAAAATCTGTAAACCCACTCAGAGAAAACTCTATAAACTATCTTCGCAAACACCATGAAAGGAATTATTGTCGCATTTGTCTTGTTGATTGCACTTGCAGCCGTACCAAACAGCGAAGCGTTACCTGGTGGGTTTTGTTGCAAGACCTTCGCAGAAAAAGATTCAACGCCTACTCCTACCAGTCGTGCTGCCAACCCTACTATTTAAGTACTTTCCGCGTTTCGTCAAAATTTGACGTAAGTTGAATACTAATGTTTATTACGAAAAAATTAGCAGAAATTATATTATAATTAACGTAACTGACGTAATATTTTGTAGGCATCCGAACAGTTCTTAACAAACCAATTTTTACTTCTGTTATAGTTACATTTTGTTTGCTTTATCTAATGTAATATATCGTACTTTGCAAAGGCCAACAAATACTATCAAAGAATAATGAGTGTGTATGTTGTAACTAATTCTGTATCACTAAAACTTAGCTGGGCTATTACAATTTTAGACTATTGGGAATAAAGATTTAGTTGCAAATGTCTTCAGTCTGTAGAGAATTCAATACTTTTTACATCCATGATCAAATCCTGTTTGCACGTTTAAGTCTTTTAGTTGTATTGCATTTCCATAATTCATACACTCATCAGAATCTCAAAATATACACTACCACCAAATTTACTTCCGCCACACAAGTTAGTTCTTGACAATATCGTTTCAGTGCCAGAAGGCATGTAAATACCTCTAAACATTAATTTTGCTTGCTCTGAAATAACTGGCCATGCCTCGACAACGTCACGTAATTTATGCTGCCGCAACGGTGGAGAGGCCTATATCAACGAGGGCACTTTTATCGTACTGTATATCTACAAACAATAACATCTTTTATTATAAGCGTTTTATAAAATCGAGTTACGCAAGCATTTAAGGTGTATGTCAGATGAGGATTTATGTCCATTCGGAACTGAGATATGTCAGATCGGGGGATTATAGCAAGACGTATGAATATAGTTTGGTATTCTACTTGTCTTATCACTGTGTGTTAAGTTTTTGGACATGTGCGCACACTAATACACGGTATTTATCCAACTGTAGCAAGAGACATATCCATTGATGAGTGTTTAGTTACATGCTGTAAACCATAATTTCAAACGTCTATATTATTAAAGGGTGATTTATCAGAATTAATTTCATTATTGAACGAATACAATTCTTGGATCGTTTTCTGTTAACTGAATTCTCTACGCAATTGGTTAATCAATTTATTGTAGTTGCTTTCAATATGCATATACATGTATGATAATTGCTTGATACAATAACATCGAACGAGTCCCGCTTCACCGCACGCTATCCACACTAAGCCGCAAACGTACATACCACCTCCTCAGTTATATGAACAAAGGTTCACCGCCATAATCTATAATCTGTATATTTACAAAACTTGTATTGTATATTGATGCTTTATGCAATATCCAACCGGTTGATAATCTAGTCCGAGTCTAGACTTTGTCCATTTTTTGATGGCAGGTACTTTGGTATAACGATCATTATCAGGATAATAACAAATCAAAGATTGTCAAATGTCTTCATTCAATATCACTGGAAAAATCTAATTCTCTGTACATTTTTAGATATTTCATAATCACCCATATCGTAGAAGCAATGTATCAATATTAATATAGTCAGATGACTATTCTTTTACATCCAACAGTAGAAGGGGAGATGAGAATGGGAACAAAATTAGAAAGATAACAGAAAAAAGCCCATATCTATGCGATAATATTGACGTATGGGACTGTTTCAACGTTAAAAGCAACCAAGCGAACTGTACCCGCATCGAAAAACACAACATTCTGAGCAAGTACTGTGGTCTGTGGCGCAGACGACGATTGTAAAAATAAAGAGCTACTATTTTACTATTGATGATTAGGCCGCCGCATGACTGTATGCTATCATTTATCGGATAATCTACTTCTATGAAAACATATATTAGTTCTATAAATAGGTGTTTATGTTAATAATAGCACCAGAATTGCCAAATTTAAACAGATTTTCTAATATTATTGTGATGCCTGTTTCATTGAGGCACTGACAAAGTGGCGGCGTTGTACAAATCCACAAAAAGGGTTGATTTTTCTTATCATCATCTTTGTGACTTCCCATAATCGATCTTACTATGAGGTATCACATTCTCTTTATCAGCGGTTATTTAATGGCCAAGGAAAACTTCTCGCATCGGGTGATTCGTCAAGATGCGCAAATTTTCATGTTTTAATAATAAGAAGAAGCCAAAGGAGAAAAAGGAAGCCGCCTTCCTGATTTCTGATAAAACATCGTCGATAAGCTCTGATACAACTACTGCGACTATCGTTCCCCCATCGCTCACGTCCGACTTGGAAAAACTAAACCTTATTGAAGACCGCTTGAACCGTTACATCGATGAAGCAAAAGAATCAGGTTACTCTGATACTAAATCGAGAGCTAAAGCTGCGGCATTACGAGAAAATGAAATCTCTAAAGCCTTCATCAACATCGAACGTTCGATGGCAGTCGATCTATGCTTCGTTCTAGATTGTACCAGTTCTATGATGAACCATCTTGCGGCTGCTAAAAATTGTATCTTACAAGTGGCCAACTATATTAAGAACATCAATCCCAGGATTCAAGCGCGGGTCGGCTTTTGCGGCTATCGTGATCATTTTGACGAAGACAATCGTTTGCAAATTTTCGATTTTACCGATTCGTACGAAAAGTTCTCTAAAGATTTAGCGTGTGTGCGAACACTCTCCGGTAATGATATACCAGAAGACGTTCTCGGCGGTCTTAATGCAGCCATAGAACGAATGAGCTGGCGAAATGGTACTCGAATTCTTCTCCATATTGGCGATGCTCCGCCACATGGTCGTCGTTTCACTGATAAGAAAGATGAGTATCCAGATGGCGATCCACACGGTCTAACAGCAGAAAGTGTACTAAACAAAATGCAAGAAAAGAATATTATTTACTTTTTCGGAAAGATTAAGTATTATACGGATAAAATGATTGAAATTTTTAATAGCATAATTGGCGATTTTCCAGTGTTCGATCTTGTAGGAGGAGATCCAACTGCGTTAATAGATAAATTAGTCAATGCGTCTTGCTCAGCTATAGCTAGTTCTGTTACATTAACCAGCATTCTGGGAGTTGACTCGAGTGAGATATACGCTTTACGGCGGAAAAAACTTGAAATGAATACAGAAGAACCTGATTGGAACGAGTGTTCGTTATATAGTGGCGTAATTTTGCGACATCGATATCCCGACGATTTGGGCGACATTGTAGACCATCAGTTTTTCCACAAGTCGCACCTCGTATCTCAAGATTTTAATTTCAAGATGGCTGCACAGCCGTTTTCTGCTGGTACCGAAAGATGTGCATATTTCGGTCTTGATTGCAATACGGTACCACCTGAAAAGATAGTAATAAAAGAATATCTCGGCGAGCAAAAATCAAACCCTATTGAAGATTATCTTGCGGCGGTAGAAGTCTCGGCTATCGCATGTTATCTCTCTGCAATGTATAATATTTATACAAGGAAAATGGGGGTTAAGAAAGTGAGATTTCTTGAAGCGAAACTTTTACGTAGTACTATTGATTATAAGACTCAATACTATACTACAGAGCCAAGACTGCAGGGTGCAGAATTTAAGCGGTTTAACATAAACAGTGGTATGATCGTAGAGCTTCATCCTTCACTCGAAGCGTTTGCGCATTTTACATACGTATATACAGGAAAATATCTGGTGGTTTACGATCTTCAGGGAATTGAGTTGGAAGACCAGTTTATCCTGACAGATCCGGCGATACATTGTGTTGATCCATTAAGATTTGGAAAGACAAATTTTGGTAAAAGAGGAATTTCTGCATGTTTTTTGGCAAACCATCAATGTAATCATATTTGCGAAAATATGGGATTTAACAGTATTAGTGGCACGTGCAATATATTTTAATTAAAATTATATATCATTATGTGTGCGAATTAACAAATAATGTCTTGGATTTATCACTTTGTTACTATGATTAGTCAGCTGCGAGTAGCTGTGATCATTCATTTCGAGGATGAGCATAGTTCTATTCGCGTAAGACGTATGGTATCTTGAAAGATGAAACCCAATTGTGAAAAGTCTATCTGTTGTGGCTACTCGCCTTATTAAGACGACACTGCGAATATGCAAACCATTAAAACACCGATTATCATACAGCGAGGCATTGTCATTGACACAACACGCTTCCCATTACAGAATTATAATATTTTTATATTTTCTATTAGCTCAGCAATTTTGTGCTATGACAATTACGCGCACGCTAACTATAACGGTTTTTATTGAAGATTTTTTGTTTGCAAATTAAGACGACACTGCGAATATGCAAATCATTAAAACAGCGAATAGGTATAAAAAATGGATATTTCTCTTTAATTTGAGACTTGGAATGTATCTATTTATTATAACCCATGAGCTATTTATTCTATATATCAAATTTTGTATCTCTATTCTAACGTACTAGACCAATTATTATGGTATACAGTTCACCTTTTGTTGCTTGTGAATCGGTTCACAAATTAAATTCAAAATTCCAGGTATTTGACAATTCTGTGTTCTCAACTAACTTCGCATGTTGTAGGGGAGATAATTTACTGGCCTAGCCATTGCACATGATGTTTTCATATGACTATGAATTCCACGGCTAATTAGAGATTGTTATAAAGGTTAGCCGTCCAGTATAATTTACGATCACGGTTCAAAATGCAACAGTTCTCTAATTCAGACATTTCTCTTTGAAGAATCATAGATATGAATGTGAACTGTATGATATTATGACAGTATGGCTTATAAGCATATAGATGATTGTAACATACACCTATCGATGGTTGTGTTTCTTGTACGTTAGTATTAGTGCGCATACAACTTATCTATAGCTCCACATAGTGATAAGACAAGACTGAAGCAGAATGCCAACTTGATTCATGCTATAATTACGATCTGACATATGTCGGTTCCGAATGGACATAACTTCCGATCTGACATAAATGATCTGACATATGAAAATAGCACATCCATACAATCTTTCTAAATGTTTCTACAGCTTGTGACTGTTTATTTACACGTATTACACGAAGTTGTTCCGTACCACGTAGACAATGCTGATATCATATTGCTCATCATTAAAATATCATTATTATCATAGAGATCAGTTTATACGTGTGGCTTATCAGTAGTAAATCACCCCACTGGTCTACCGCACGCGACAATTATAAATTTTATGACTTGTTAACCAGTAAACAATTTTTATTTACGGAGACACAAAAAGCACCTCTCATAATCCTTCCAAATGTTTCTACACAGCATGTAACAACATTTATACTTATAAGGCTAAGCACCTTACAATCCTTCCAAATGTTTCTAAGCACCTTACAATCCTTCCAAATGTTTCTACACAGCATGTAACAACATTTATACTTATAAGGCTAAGCACCTTACAATCCTTCCAAATGTTTCTAAGCACCTTACAATCCTTCCAAATGTTTCTACACAGCATGTAACAACATTTATACTTATAAGGCTAAGCACCTTACAATCCTTCCAAATGTTTCTAAGCACCTTACAATCCTTCCAAATGTTTCTACACAGCATGTAACAACATTTATACTTATAAGGCTAAGCACCTTACAATCCTTCCAAATGTTTCTAAGCACCTTACAATCCTTCCAAATGTTTCTACACAGCATGTAACAACATTTATACTTATAAGGCTAAGCACCTTACAATCCTTCCAAA